CTTAGTGTTATCTGAAACCTCGTCACTTCTGAGAGCTAAACAATAGCAGAGTGGCATTGGCCTAAAAACTCAGTAACTCTCACGAGAGGACATCCGTTGGGTCTCTTGATCCTGAGTTGTCTGACTTATCTCTGATCATACGCATGCCACATGATTGGCTGTAATTGAGAAGGTGATGTTTCAAATTAACAAAATTAATGTATATTTTAATCCCTTTTCCCCTCTCTTATAGGGTGTTTTTATACGCAACCCAAATACCTTAGTTGCAACTAGGCCTACCGTGAGACACTTTTTTACGACAAAATTAGTTCATATGCTAAAATTGCTGTTTTCTTTACTTCATTGCCATTGCCATTGCTTTCAGCTAATATGAGTTATTGTATAGATTTCCATGAGAGTGTTGTTGAGAAGTTATTGTAAATAAGACTCAACATGGTATTTCCATGAGCTCAAATAGACTATGTTTTGTAGGTCTACGTTTTTTTGGTGCTCTACAAATCGGACTTCCCTAAATTTTAACAATATTATGAACTGTTGATTTTTTAGGTTCTGGAATCACATTTGGAAAATTTAATTCCAAACCTTTCTTGACATAAAACCAATTATTTACTTTTAATGGACAACAAATTCTCTTTGAGCTTGCGAAAACGTCATAATGAGTCTTATTCACAATAAATCAAAACACTGAAGAGAACTATACAACAATGCATCAGCTGATTAGCAATGTAACAAGGAAAACAGAAATACTAACTTACATATGAGATTGTTTTATCGTTAAAATGTGTCCTACGGTACCTATGTACTTATAATTTTGGTTGCGTTTAAAAAACGCCCCGTAAATTCGACTGACACCAAATCATTGCTATTTATCGTCACGCCACTTTCAAAGAAAAGAGTTTTTTTTTCAATTAATTCCTTCTCGACTAATAGATATATCTTTTTTCTCGATATCACTCAATCAATTCTTGTAGATTGCGATTCACACTTTGATTTATCAATTATCAATTATCAATCGTTGAGATGGGGACGCCACCTAGGTGTGTATTTTAACCCAAATATGAGTGAAGGATGAGTGTAGAATGGTGTGTGATGACCTGTGTAGCTTTGTTACTGACTAAGATCAGCGGTTTCATTAGTCAGGATAATTTATTTAAAGCCCAATGATCAGGAACAGCTGATGTTCATTATGAGCTGAGCGTTAATGCAAGGGCGGCAGAAGAATTGAATGAGATGATTTTTATATTCAGAACCATAAATGAAAATACGGACGGCTTGTCAAAAGATCAAAATCTCAGGATTGAACCTGAGACTTCTGATCACTATGGGAGAGCAATACAGGGTGATTGATATACAGGGTGATTGATATAAGTGTGCCAGCCGTTTTATTCGAAAACTATAGGAGATATAAAAAAAAGTTAAATGGTAAGTGCCTTGTATTTTTTATTTAAAAAATTATAGTCAAGTCCAAAAAATTATTTTAGCCGCCATTTTTCTAATATGGCCGCCAACTTTGATTTTTCTTACGGAACACCCTGTATTTTATGATGTATTCTGGTAGAAAAAGTAATTTTAAGACGATTTTATTCTTGTCATTTTTTTCATAAACCTAACCGTTTCAAAGATAATAATGGTTTAATTTGTTAAATTTTGAATGGTTTTCGAACAAAACAGCTGGCATGCTTGCTTAGGCCTTTATCGAAACTCTTTCTCATGCAGAAATTTCAAAACTTTAACCATAATTATCTTTGAAACGGTTAGGTTTATGAAAAAAATCACAAGAATAAAATCGTCTTAAAATTACTTTTTCTACCAGAATACATCATAAAATATAGGGTGTTCCGTAAGAAAAATCAAAGTTGGAGGCCATATTGGAAAAATGGCGGCTAAAATAATTTTTTTGACTTGACAACAATTTTTTAAATAAAAAATCCAAGGCACTTACCATTTAACTTTTTTTGATATCTCTTATAGTTTTCGAATAAAACGGCTGGCACACTTATATCAATCACCCTGTAAGTGTGCCAGCCGTTTTATTCGAAAACTATCAGAGATATCAAAACAAGTTAAATGGTAAGTGCCTTGGGTTTTTTATTTAAAAAATTTTAGTCAAGTCAAAAAAATTATTTTAGCCGCAATTTTTATAATATGGCCGCCAACTTTGATTTTTCTTATGGAACACCCTGTATTTTATGATGTATTCTGGTAGAAAATGTAATTTTAAAACGATTTTATTCATGTAATTTTTTTCATAAACCTAACCGTTTCAAAGATAATAATGGTTAAAGTTTTGAAATTTCTGCATGAGAAAGAGTTTCGATGAAGGCCTAAAGCAAGCATGCCAGCTGTTTTATTCGAAAACCATTCAAAATTTCACAACTTAAACCATTATTATCTTTGAAACGGTTAGGTTTATGAAAAAAAGTACAAGAATAAAATCATCTTAAAATTACATTTTCTACCAGAATACATCATAAAATACAGGGTGTTCCATAAGAAAAATCAAAGTTGGCGGCCATATTGGAAAAATGGCAGCTAAAATAATTTTTTTGACTTGACTATAATTTTTTAAATAAAAAATCCAAGGCACTTACCATTTAACTTTTTTTGATATCTCTTATGGTTTTCGAATAAAACGGCTGGCACACTTATATCAATCACCCTGTATAGACTATAACCATTCAGCCACTCAGATAATAAATAGTTGTGCTCCGAACCAACAGGCACGACAAACATAGCCAAGTAAATACCAACATATGAAAATAAATAAATAATTCATTGGCAGGGTTTGAATGAGCTTACACCTCCATACCAGTTTTATCACTTGTATTGTGATAATGTCTGACCATGTGCATACGATATACCACTTTTCGAAACCCTTAGTATCGATAATGCTAAATGCATCTGATGGTTAATGCAGGGTTACTATTTTGAACAAAGTATAAAATTATCGTCGGAGATATAAAATAATTCAAATCAAACATAATACATATTAACACTTATAGGCAAATCCTATTAAGTGATTACTCCTGATAAAACTAAGAACGTAGTATGCACACACACGTTTATCTCTAACACAATATTATTTGGTAGCAGTATAGTCTAAAGTTAAAAGTTGGATATTACTTACGACAAGCAATAGACCAGCGTAAACTCCCCTTTAATCAACATAAAGTTAAAAAAGTGGAAACAGAATGGTTTATGTTTATATCTGGTTAAATGTATGTTGGTTATATATTAAAACGAAAGCGGTCCATTTTCTAAACATTAGTACTTTTGGCACGCAAGTATATTTCCAAGGGCCATAAATTGTATGATAACAACCAAAGTCTTTGTTTCCAAATAGTCTGCCAAATTTTATCTGAAAATCTCTTCAGAATCCATCTCCTTGTTGTAAAATAGGCGGGAATCGTTGTTAATGTTTTTAACTCGTGAAACCCAAACTATAAGGTTATTATTTCTTAATGGAACCGATAGTTTTTATTTGCATAAAATAAGGTTATGAAAAGTTCAAAATTCCAATTGTTTCAACCTGTTTCCTGAAAAAAAAAAAACTATATAGTTCATTTAAGTTGTGAAATTAACTTTAATTGATGCTTAAAAATGCTATTATAACAAAACTCACGTAAACCAAGTTACTCTGGATGAACAACAAGTATTGAAAGTTTTTGATAAAAAAGCAATAGTTATAACTACTGGCCAAATACTGTCCCTGCTCTATGATTTTTATTTATGAGAGGATCTCGTCTAAACATTTTTCATGGTCCTTCGACCTCTTATCACTTGTCTTATCTATGTCACTCATTCTGATATTTTTCTATCCACGTTTACTTTTTCGCCCTTACGTGTTGGTTATCCTGATCGCATTTTTTCCAATGGTGTAAACATCTACCACGAACGTAAGAACAGAAACGGTGGATCATAAACATAAACAAATGACGTCACCGGCCCGAATGTTTAATAGCCGTAACAGTAGATTTGAATTTGTTGAGATTTCTATTTAAATATTTATAAAAACGTGTTTACTTTTCGGGCCAGTGACGAAATTTGTTTATGTTGACCCATATCGTTTATGTTATAATATTTGTGATAGTGCACTTAGCAATTAACTAGCTTCGACACCTAATCTTCAGACTTTACCAGCATATGTCATGTCTATTATTGGATTGACTTTTACACTGTAGTAGTTGAACCTTGTGTTGGCCAAGCAAAGGCTATGCTTAGTGTTGGAATCTGTTCCTGCCCATCCAATCAGTAGATCTTTAACAACCCTAAAGTGACTCCACACCCTCATGTTTTGCGAAGTCAAAGTTGCATTTTCTCACCAGCTGTGAGCATTGATCCAGCATTATCGTCCTCGAACTTGGACAAACAATGCCTGGTGTCACGCCACTCTGAGTGACTCATGTTGCAGCTTTGCCAAAATTTGTCGCCAAACTGCTGTAAAACTACTCCTGACCCGGAACAATAGCTAACTGCCGTTATATTTACACCTCCAAAATGCACAACAGCGAAAACCACTGACACGGTCGTGCCAACGAATTCTGGAGAACTGCCATACACTACGTGGCTCGAGGCTTTCAACACCTGCAGAACATGGAGTGCAAAAGAAGTATTCGTACCTTGCGTTTCCTGTGTTCTTGAAATATTAATTTAGTTATTCTTGATATGGGTGAGAACCACGATTGAGATAGTTTATATTTTTGAAAAGTCATTTTAAACATCCGCAGATTTTAAAGTTCCATACAGTTTACTTGACGAAATGTAAGGCAAGCATCCGTATGTCGTGCATGAGTACAAGACAACGGAATTAAAGAGAGCCGAGAAAACGTTGTTACGCATTATTATTTAAATCAATTGATATTTCATTTGGATGTATAGCGGCCGAATTCCTCTTTCCCAGACTACCGCCGCCTCTGACTGAGCGCTTACCCCGTACAGTAGCTTATATGCACAATTTTCTTGAAATTCCAAACAAGTCCTAACAGAACATGTTGTTTCAGTATACAGTCAGAAGAGGTCAGATGACAAGAAGGAAGAAGTAGCGTTTGTCTGCCCAGAAGGTCAAGGAAACGGCAACTTTGCAGATCCTGCCACATGCAGACGATTCTACCAGGTAATCCTATATTTTATGATCATTACCCAACACACATCCAGGCTAATTATTTAATATTAATCTAATAACACCACCAACTTTTCAACTATGGCAAACTGAAAGTTTAACTTGTAAATAATTATAGAAACTTGGATGTCTTCATCTGTCATAATGTAAAAATAGAAAAGAAAATAAAACTTTAAAAAAATTTTAAAATTAAAAGAAATAAATAACAGAATAAATAAATAAAAAAGATTTAAAAAACCTAACTAAAACAATAAATAATTTAATAAAATAAATAAATAAAATAAAATAAAAATAAATAAAAGATTAAAATAAAATAAAATAAAAAATAAATGCAAAATAGCACACTCTTTGAGGAGATTGTTTGAGTATGTTCTTTTGAGTGAAAATCACTATAAAAGATGGAGGCATTACATTTCCGTATCCAAATTCACAAAAATTATATGGATGCCAGACAGGGATGGATAAAATCAGTTTGGTTAAATAAACAGATGATATTTTAATTAACATAATTTAGCCGCAAAGCTAACACATAGCCTGTAATTCTGTTGTATCCCTTAGATTATTGTGTATTTTCCATGTAGAATCATAGGGAATAAGCTATTACTCTAAGTCTCATGGTAAGAACAGGACCTGAAACTGATTTAGCTTTTCATTTTGGATGTCCCCAGAGGCCAAAAACACCTTAAGTTCTAATGCATATATCGGTAACCGTTAGCCTGATAAAAATCATCCAATTTTGAAAAAAGATTTTGTGCAAACGTGTAAACCTACGAGTATTCAAACAAGTTTGTGAACCATCATGATCGGACCATGGGAATGGGTTTCTCGGGGAATAGGGTAAAAAATGGGTTTTCATACTGTTCACCCTCAAAACATAAAATTTTCCAATTTCTCTGAAAACAATTTATTTCAACAAGATTCAAAAAACAAATAATTTAATACAATAAGGCTATATTAAAGTGTTTTTGTACAATTTTTAGTTATGGGGAAAATTAAAGAAAATTAAATTTGAAGTTCCCATGACATTCTTATGGAGAATAAGTAAACTAAGTGCATCTGTAGTTTGCAAATCAACACATTTTGACTGTGGCTCAATTAAGTCAGTGACAAATACAAACTACATTTATTTTTATTGTAAACTGGCTACATTTTAAACATGATAATTTAACTACAGTATACAGAGCCTACCCTAACTCAAATGGAGTGACAAATAAGACAGCAGGTGAAGCTGATAACCAATTGACATTTTCTGGGGTTGCATAACTTTCTCTGGACATTGAAAGTCAAGATAGATTGGGTTGAGATCTAAACAGAGTGACAAAGACTTTCAAGATGACATTCTTGTCCCTTGTAGGGCAATAGTGGAGAGAGTAGAGCTATGACAATCCTACACTTTCACTGAAGAGCACTGCCCAACATGAGATGAGGCCTGTCATTGTTACAAGAAAAATGTGTTTTGTAAAATATCTGTGCGATTTTTAATTTTTATTCACCTTTTTCTGCACCATGGGTACCCAACCTGGCCTTTCCATTTAATGTCAAGCTTTTGTAGATAGCATCTTTAACTAATTGATTTCCCCATGATAAAGAGCATCGTTTGTTACTATATTTTGTTATATTCATGCATTATTATTTGTATAGGCCAATGACTGAAAAATAAACCGAACCTGAGATGGAACCAGCAACTAGCATTAATAGGTGCTACATGTAATTGGTCTCAATTTAAATAAAGGGGTTTTAACCATTGTTTTCCCAACATTTAAACGTTTTAGCAAAACAGTTACATTTTTTTAAATGGTATTAAGAATACATGCTCACGGTGGTAATGAAATGAAAATTAAATTATGAAATAAATGAAATGAAATGAAAAATGTCTTTATTTAAGAGGCGAAGTTAGGGCTAGCAAGTCCTCTACACGGAATGACAGCCCAGGTCTTGGGGTATGGAATATCCCCCCCCCCCAGAAAAAATGTGGAATTTAAAGCCTAAAAACATATTTTTATACATATATTTAAGCTCTAAAATATGCTCAAGCTAATAGTATGTTAGCTAATTAAATATAAAATGCGACCGCCACTTTACTTTGTGTGATGACAACCAAATAAAATACAATTTGAGAAAACTATAAATTTCTTAGAAATTCTAGTAGAAAGTGGTTTTTGATTTTTGATTTTGATTATTATATTGATTTTTTCCAATTACTCCTATATCTTTGCTTGCAAAGACTTTTTTCAATACTAGAGAGATCCTAGATTTTAATTAAATCTACTACAATATGCCATATGATATGATTATATTGTCTGTTTCAGTGTGTGGACAACTACCCCTACCTCAACAGATGTCCCTCGGGACTTTATTTTGACGATATCAACAAACTTTGTACATTCAAAAATGAGGCACGCTGCGGCCCACTACCAACTAGTAAGTTCTTACGATATTGTTTGTACTCTATCTTTAACGCACAAATAACCAAACACATAAGAAAGATTTTCGAAATTTTAAACATTTGCAGTGATTGGTCTAAATTGTTATTATTTGTTGTATTCAACTTTTACTATTTTGAACTGGGTCGAAAGTAAATTTTCAAGAAAAGAACTAACTTGCAATCCTTAAATTTTGTTCTCAATTTATACCATTTAAGTGATATGGTACAATTTAATTCTTGATTACCAATACCAACTAACACCTATTATAGCTATATCAATAATCTCCAGCTCAAAAATCTCTCCAACATTAAAATAATGATAATTCAATTTCTGATTCTTAATTTCAACCCCTAGCTTCAACTCCAATCTCTAGCTCTCTAAATAGTTAATACCAATTTCAAACTGTAATTCCTATATCTCACTAAAAATTAGAAACAATAACTAGAGTTAGTGATTTCCACAAACCTTTACAACACTTTTTACCTCCAGCACCGAGACTTTTCTCCAAAGCACCGATTGCCTACCTTACGGTTTTTTACCATATCTTTGCACTATTCCAGCTCCCGCACCCAGCACGGAACCTCCTCAAGATCTCGCCCAGAAGTGTGACACAGCCAAGTGCCAGCTGCCATACTGCTTCTGCTCTCGCGACGGGACCATCATACCCGGCGGATTAGAACCTGAGGATGTACGTCGATACAAAAAACGACGCAAAGCTAAGCCTTGAAACGCGGTGGCGGTGTTGGGATCTTAATTCATAAGACGTTCAGACTTACTTTATAGCTGTGATGGTATTGGTGGTGGTGTTTTGTAAATAAATAGTTGGTACTTCAATCTTCATCGTTCTATTCCTACACTTCTTGGTTTGGGAAGGTGGTATGATATTAAGTGAATCTATTGGTGGAGGGCATAGCACTCTTTAAACTTGAAATTGTATGAAAAAGTTAATATATTTGGTGAATAGCTTTGGCAAAAAAAATAAATATTGCAATAGAAAGCTTAGTTACAGATTCTTATAATGTTTTGTAACAACTGCAATGGCTTGACTCTAATCCGCTGGCTGTGAAGTCAGCTGATGAGGATTTGTCAGTATTTATTAGTCTGACTTTGACACCACCAGCTGATTAATAGCCAAGAGAAATGAGACAAGGAGCAATAACTGTTGTCTTTACCAGGGTCTCTTCTAATACAAGGCCGTTCGAGTGTGGCAATGTCGCACCAGCCTGTTTTTTGCAATAACAAAAGTAATAAAAGTTACAAACAACTAGTGTAATAATAAGCTATAAGTTGAAACAAGTAATAACAGTTACAAGTAATAACGCTCCATTAGGAGGTAGTACAAGCTGTTACAGTAGGCTGAAACTGCAGCGCCACTTTTGTCCCTCCGCGACCTTGTATTATAGGACCTTTTACCATGACCTTTGAAAACTATAGAAGACCAATTGTAGCCAAAATGTTTCACTAAAATAGAAAGCATTTGAATGAGCTACCGGTTCTCACTTATATTATTTTTATTTAGGTACCGTACTTGGAGCTAAAAAAGTCATTGTTTATGACGGAAATTAGTACAATTTACAGTGTATCAAACTCTGTTAATGATTCGATTCAAGTTTGTCCATTTACATGTTCTAAAACTGGCTATACCTAACTTTAACAAGAACAAGATGAACACTTCATTCCATGGTCAAAAGTTTTGGTTTGTTTAGTTTGCCATTACAAATTTTTTATTCAAAACTTAGAGATCTGTTCTAAAAAATGTGCAGCAAATTTAGAATGATAATGAAGAATGTATGTGCCTATTTTATTGCAGCCATTATATTATTCCTGGAGGGAAAAATAATTAAACTGTATTTTCAAGCACTTATAAGTTGCTATATAATGCTTTTGTCATAAGAAAGTTTTCCAGGAACTTTTGGCACTTTTTCTCATAGTATGCAAAATTATAATTTTAAAGATCAACATAGTCATCAGAATTAAAACACCAGGTAAGGAAAATGCTTTTTTGCTAAAAAAATATGCTGTTTTGGTGTTCATAATAACATTTACTGATTCAAAAAACCACACTTACTAATATGAGATTACAACACAAAAACAATTAATAACATTATAAATATAAATTTTGTTTTGTGCTATCGTTTTAAGATCTACTAAATTATTGTATGTTCTATTCTCACCTCTTTTCTTATTTTACCCCTTTTATTCTTACTAACAATTATCTTTTTTAAACCATACTTTCTCTTTTGAGTCTTGCATGAATGCATGTTTTATGGCAAAAGGTTAAAATGTATAGTTTAAAGGATATTTTAGCAAAACCATAGGAAAAGTTTAACCAACAATAACAAATATATCACTATCCCAAACTGTATATTGAAGTTACTACTGGCCTTTAAACCAGGTTACACCAGAAATGTCAAGCTTTTGATGGAAATAGTTATCACATTTTAGTTTTTTAAATCCTACCAGTTTAGTTTGGTTTTGGATTTTTTCCATCCTATGATTTAGACTTTACCACAAAAGCTTATAGATTAGAATGCACACTTTCTAACCAGAGGGTCTGAGTTCGAACCCAATCAATCACCAATATCATTGTGATGATCCTGTGAACCAACGGTTCTGAATTCACCTTGATCCTTGAACTATAGGTCGTCCTAACTTATCTAGAAAACAAAAGAAACTTAGGTCTCTAAGGCAAGGCAAATTATTTCCTCTGTATCAGAGAACCCTACATTAAAATACATAAAATAAATTGTTTCACTTAAGACAGTGTCTTCACCCAATTTTGTTGCTAAGTTTGTCTGCCAATCGACCTCATCTGTCAAAAAATCAAAACAATTGGAAACAAAATTTAAAACTCAACAATCAACTTTTTACTTCTAATCGCTTTAACGACTCACATAAACTTTGAAATTCCAGACTCCGCAGATGATCTTGGTGACGTTCGATGGAGCCATCAATCTTAACAATTTCCAGAAGTACACTCACCTCTTCAACTCAAAGAGGAGGAACCCTAATGGTTGTGAGTTGAGGGCGACGTTTTTCATCTCCCACGAGTACTGTGACTACAATATGGTCCAGGAGCTCGCTCACTACGGTCATGAGATCGGGGTCGAGACTGTCTCGTGAGTTCTCATTGGTTGTTTAATTAAACACTAACTTTATTTTATTATCATCACCAGAGTGGTGAAAAAACTGGTTCAGCTAACACCTAAGTGTTGTTTGAAAGTATTATTAGAATTTTTTTATATGGTTCAGAATATTTTTTTATGTTCAAATGGCATCCTTTGGATTACATGTAGTTTTGTCAGTTTTTTTTTTTTTTTTGCTCGTATCTACGCCAGTGGCATTTTTGTATTGAAGTCATTTCAAACACTTTTAAGGGAAAGCGGTCCAAACCCATTAAAGTTTTGTGGATGTGCCGGGGATTGAACCCATCCCTCCCGCACCAAAGTCCGAGATGCTAACCACTAGGCTAGCAACACAACCATCTTTCACACAACAAAATATCTTCACAACGAGTTTCCTTTCTTGTAACACATATTCAAATTTAGAAGCAGAAGTTTTCATTCAAATCAGAATTTCTGAGGTAAATATCTTATCCTTTAAAAAAAAAGGGCAAAGGTAATACCAGTCCACCATACTCACTTTGAGAAACGATGTTAAAGCCAAGATTGCTCCACGGCAGTTACAAACCATGTTTAAACTAAAATACTCCATGATTTTATAATTATGGCATGGTTATTGCATCATAACATTTTGGATTCTAAGGTCTTCATATTTATAACAACAAAGGAATTGAGAAGTGTGTTTTATATATTTTAAAATGTAAATTAAAAAATTGAAGGTGAAACATAATTTAAGTAGCTGGTACTGATATCAAAATGTTACAAACTTATTTACAACTTCCTCTATTGTCCAGGCTACAACAAGGTCTCCAGGACAAAGGTTACGAGGAATGGGTCGGAGAGATGATCGGTATGAGAGAGATTCTGAGACACTTCGCCAACATCTCCCAAAGCGACATAGTGGGGATGAGAGCTCCCTTCCTCAAGCCAGGACGTAACACTCAGTATGAAGTAATTACATAAGCCTATAGGTTAGGTGTGTCAAATAACGAATACAAGGTTAAAAACAACCATTATATTTGGAGTTAAAATGTCATTAAACGGCAACCAACAGTTATAAACTTGACATTTTAAGTAGAGATCATATAAGAACAAATCATCTCACGTTTCCAGGCACTTATTCTTTTTGGTAAATTTATTGGTCAAAAAATTAGGAAGAACAATGTCACGTATTTGGGGAGGTGAGACTTTGGGTGTTTTCAGTCTACTGTTGTCGTTTTACGTTGAAAACATTTTAACTAAGAACACACATAAGTAAAGTACAGAGGAAACATTCAATGGTACACCTGGTGTCTAGCACCAGTTGCTGGTGTCTAGAGTAAAGTCCAACACCAACCCCTTGCCCTCATTTACTACAACGCTAACGGTGGATGAAGATCCTATGCCCTTTGCAATAGAAGTTTCCGCACAATGTTCGCCATTCGGGCTCTTCCTTGTTTGGCACAAGTATATTTCTAGTACAACATATAAAAGTTGAAAGCTTAAGGTTGTCCCATAAGCAAGTTTCCTTTGTTCAGTAACGTCTCTGTGCTAAGGACAAATCTCACGTACTGCCTGCCATCCAAACAGAAATATTTAAACTTTTATTTTGGGAATAAGATTAAAAACTCATGATGAAATGTCAAGGTAAACTCACAATAATAATATCAATAAGGTATACAAAAAAACTGTTTGTGTTTATTTATTTGTATTTTTTTAAATAATAATCAACCAAAACCACTCAATTATTTATTCTGTTGGATCACATGGGTGCAAAACCTCAACAGAGGGTCATAGTATTGAAAGGTAAAAAAGGCCTTAAATTGATTGAAAAACTTGTAGATACCAACAATACAGGTCTTGCTGGTATCATAGAAGCATTGGATTCATATTTTGTAGGAACGACAAATCCCTTCTACGAAAGATTTTTGTTTGACAAAATAATCCAACACAAGAATGAAAAAATAAAGGATTTTATAGGAGGGTTGAAACAAGGAGCTAAAAGTTGTAGTATTGATGGGTTGTCAAGTTTAAATGAAAATGAGTAAGGTGGACAAATCTGTACATATAAGAACACGTAGTAAAACACGCCTTGAAATTTAAACTTTCAATATAAATGTAAAGGCAATAACTCAAAATATTCCTGTGATCATGATACAGTTTCTTTAATGGTAATGTGGTATGACAGCATATTCATTGTACCACATCAAATAAACTCATTAGAGTATTTAATATTCTCCGTTGGTGGGTTTGGACAGTGTCCAGCAGACTGTGGACTGCTAATGAGTCTGAATGTACATCAATTAGTTAGCCACAGATGTTTTCTATGACTAATTTAAAGTGTTGGCAAAGTAAAGCAACCTCAACAAGATCAATATTTTTCAAACCACTATTAGATTTCTATTTTCTTTTATTCAGTGTTCAATTTAAAGTTTACATTCACAAAAAATAGTTAAATAGAAAGCTGAAGTTACACAATCCATTATTAAAACAAGTTTTAATATTTTTCTAAAATATTTTACGTCTAATTTCTTGTCTTTTCCAGGTAGCTGAGGACTTTGGTTTCATCTATGACAGTTCTGTTGGTGTTCCTCCACTCAAAACTCCTATCTGGCCTTACACGTTAGACTACAAAATACCTCACGAATGCAAGTCAGGCACTTGCCCTACCAAATCATTCCCAGGTAACCTTCTAAAATTTCATTCTTTGTTCATATAACAGCTCAAAACTTTCATAAAAATGTCCATGAGGTTTTTTTGTTCTTTACCTGAGTTACCCTTTACAATCACACCTTAAGATTCTAAAATGAAACAATGAAAAACATGTTATCTTTTGGATCAGGTTTGGAGCTATCAAATTTCAAAAGTTGTATGGATGTAGAAAATGTATACCTTAATGTTTGACTTGCATGGGTGCTGAATAGGGCTGGAGGTGCTAAGACAGTCTTTGAATTGTCCCTGGGGGCACTGTAGTGGTGACCTCAATGTAAAAGTTATTAGTCGGGGAATGTCAATCACAAATTCTCCAAGAATATGGCCATTTTTAAATTCATTTTATTTATGGCTTGGAAGAAACCTAGAAATTGTGAACAGAGAGGGGTGCAAGAGGTTTTATGGTTGTTGGGGCACAAGATAGAGGAAAATTCCCCCACAAGGTGGAGAGGGGTGCTCAATTATCTCTCGGGGCCCATAGTGCATCACATGCAAACTCAACCCGGGCTTCATTTATGAAAACTGATGAAATATTATTATGGTATAATGACAAAAATATTTCCGTAAGAAATAATATATATGATATTTACAGGTATCTGGGAGGTGCCCCTCAACGCCCACTACGTAGAGACCTATGAGGGAGGCCATTGCCCCTACCTGGACCAGTGTGTTCTCCACAATCACGACAAGGACGATGTGTTTGAGTGGCTGCAGGAGGACTTCTACAGATCCTACAAGCATAACAGAGCCCCGTACATGCTGCCCTTCCACACCAACTGGTTCCAACTGAAGGAGCTGGAGGACGGTCTTCATAAGTTTGTCGAGTGGGTTTTGACCCTGTAAGTATGAGTTTGGATCGCCAGTTTAAGTCACAAAAATGTAAAACATAATTTCATTACTTTATTATTCCATAATGTACTTGTTTAAAACTACGAGTGTTGTCTTAGTTATTCAGTGAATTTTTAGAGGGATAAGTTGATTTTTAAAAGGGTAGGTGCAAGGGATATCATCGCAAGGGAAGGGACCTGGGTAAATATCCACACACTGACAAAGAATTAATTTAAGTATTTAAAGCTTCAAGACGTATTTTTGTATTGCAATTAGCCAGTGTTTCATTTTCAATAAAATGTTTACGATACTCTAATTTGTCCTTACAATCTTTATAATAATTTTAAACTATCAAAACCATGATTGAGAATAGAAAAAATCTAAATTACCTAACACAAGTTTGAAGTGATTGGTTCAAAAGTACCTGTTCTTCATTTAACATTAATTAACTATACATGATTAAATTTTGAAAACATATAGTGTTATATTTTCATGATTTCCTAAAAGAAAACACATCTAAACGTTTTAAGTTTTGTTTTATTAATCACCAATTGGACATTACTAGATACTTAGGTTAAGTCACATTTTAAATACAACAACAGTCACCGAGGTTCTACCGGAAGTAAAAAAAACTAGCTTACTAAACAAGCTATAGTAGCCAATATTATAAATCCAAATCACCAATAACTTCAGTGAATGTGTGGATATACAGGGTGTCCCGGAACTCTCTACCAATATTTTAGGGCATTGCTCCCGGGTATGAAACATACCTAAATATCATATTTAAATTGTCCGGAAGTCCTTAGTTACTCACACAGCCGCCATTTTGTTTTTTTCAGTTATTCATTTTTTTCTAAAGAATGGTTAAACATACGAAATGGAAACTTTGCACAAACATTTATGACAACTAGACAAAGCTACCAAAAAAGTTTGAAGATTTTTCAAATTCACAAAACAAAATGGCGGCCGTTTAAAAATTTTGTTTCTTAAAAAACTCGAAAACCATTGATTTTACACAAATTTTAAACGGCCGCCATTTTGTTTTATGAATTTGAAAAATCTCATAATTTTTTGGTAGATTTGTCTAGTTGTCATAAATGTTTGTGCAAAGTTTCCATTTCGTATGTTTAACCATTCTTTCAAAAAAAACTAATAACTGAAAAAACAAAATGGCGGCTGTGTGAGTAAATAAGGACTTCCGGACAATTTAAATACGATACTTAGGTATGTTTCTTACCCAGGAGCAATGCCCTAAAATATTGGTAGAGAGTTCCGGGACACCCTGTATAACACATAGAGCTGTGTAAATCCGTACAATCTTATAGTAACTTTTTTAGTTCTTGCCAATTCCATGTCCAGCTCATGAAAACCTGCAGAGGTGGTAAATTTGACCCAGATTGTGTCTATGTTGAAACTTGTAACAAAAATGAAGTGAAGTTAGTCCACCCCAATTGCAAAGATTTAAGTATCAAATTTCAGTTTAACTTAATTCAATGAAAAAAGTATGAAACAAAATGTACATTTCTCAGGGAAGACGTTTGGTTTGTGACTGTGACGCAAGCGTTGACCTGGATGACAGACCCGCGCCCACTCAGAGATCTGGCCAACTACGAGCCATGGAAGTGTGACAAGATGGACCAATACCCACCCAAGCCTTGCAACCTGCCCAACAAATGTGCCTTGTCCTTCAGGCCCCCAGAGGCTAATGTTACTTCTACCAGGTGAGATCGTACATTTAGGTACGGCAATATACAGGGTGTTTTTTTTTTAAACTTGCATCTTTATTTATGTAAAAACCGCAATAGGTAGAAATATTCAGTTTGCAGGAATCATCTATTGACGTAGGGGGCACAATTTTTTTGGATTCAATGTTACATTCACATTCCCCCCCTTTCCCCCCCCTGCCCAAAACTTATTTTTTTTTAATAGCAAGGTACCCCCTCTTGTGACATATCAAATGAAAAATAAATTTCATTAAAAATTTTCTTTTTTAATGCTCTTTCATTTGATATGTCACAAGGGGTACCTTGCGATTAAAAAAAAAAAGTTCCGGGGAGGGGGGAGGGATATATCTCGCAAATTTATGATCCGATTTTCAATTTTTTTCATCAAACATTTTCTTTTTTCATGCTCTTTTATTTGATATGTCACAAGGGGTACCTTGCTGTTTAAAAAAATTGAGTTGGGGGAAGGGGGGGAAAGGGAGGGAATGTGAATGTAACGTTGAATTCAAAAAAATTGGGCCCCCTATGTCAATAGATGATTCCCGCAAACTGCATATTTCTATCTATTGCGGTTTTTACATAAATAAATATGCAAGTTTTTAAAAAAACACCCTGTATAGTTCTACTAATTCAGAACTGGGAGTCCAATGACTATGAATTGAATAGCAGAATAAAATAGAAAAAGTGCTTTATTGATTACATATTATGTACAGTACATGAAATGAATACATTACATGCACATACAACCATGGTCATACGACCCTCTGCTGGGTTGGCATAATGTCCATTCAATATTTAATTTTATACTTTTATTTTATTTTATACTTTATTTGAACATTAAGAACTTTTTAACACCTGCTTGATTGGCTAAACTTTCTCTTCCCAAATGTGTTGAGTGAAAATAGCTATACAGTGTTCTGTTATGTAGAAACCTTTGTAAAAAAGTGAATTTCAATAGGTTATATTATCATACTACTAATCAAATATGAAGAATTTTTTGTTTGTTGTTGATCAAATTATAATGAGACGAGTCTCATAACCTTGATTTAGTTTAGAATCAAACTCATTTTCCATTCCATTTTTTATCATTAATGCTATCTCTATCCACATAAATGATTCCACATCCCTTTACATTTCAGCTTCAGCTATCACCTTATAGTAAATGTTTTGAAACTTTTTGTACCAGGTACCTAACAACCTGCCGCTCATGCCCCAACAAGTACCCATGGCTCGGAGATTCACAAGGCACAGGAATCGCTGGTCGTGACGTCTACAACCCAGAGAACAGAAGGCGTTGAGAATAGCTATAATTTATTTTTGAAGCGACGTTTTCCAAACATTTTATATTTGTGTTCATCAAGAACTCAGTGAGGTTGTGTCTTTTCAACATTGGTAATTGTGCCTTTTTTAATTTGTCGTTTTGTAATATGCCATAAAGCGAAGTTTCAACATAAGAGGTGTTTAGAATTTCTTGTAGGTTTTGAAAATTTTAAATTACTCAGTTACAGTATCATCCCTGCTTTTGACAACAATAATTAATGCAAAAATAAAAGCTTTTTTTGTTTAGTTTCAGTACAAAGATTTTTATATCCTAATATTTGTATTTGCACTCGCGGCTAAGATTTTTATAATACAAATTGACGAGCTCATAAAGCATTAAACCCTTGATAATTATAATCTTTTAAGCAGTTAATTGATTATTATTTATCAACTTGTTGGTTTAGAAGCACAGCTTCAATATTTAAATAAGCAGTTGTTGGTGCTATAACAAATTACTGGTTTGAAAATTAATAAAAAAGTTTAAAAAATTCATTCAAGTACTTTTTATTGAATGTTTTGAATTGAATGCTAATGCAAAAGAGTAAATTTAAATCAATTAACTTAATTTAGTCATAGGAGTTGTAAGACAAATGTAATTTGTTCTCTTGTTACTACAGTACGTTTACTGAGATAAAGTACGGTAATAAGAAATCAGTAATATTTTTATTGAAAATTTGTAAAGAACTTAGAGAGATTTTGTATTTTTTTAGTTTTAATTTTATTTGTAAAATAAATAAATGATTCCTATGAAAGCTGTTTCAGGATATTTTAATACTCCGTTAACTGAACTTTGTTGTAGTTCTCTAAATTTCCACTAGAATGCAGGACAATTAATTGTTTGGACTAAAATCTGTTTATAAAGTGAATATTAGAAATGGGAACTCTTGTGGTTATGGCAAAATAACATTGAGCGACAAGCTCGAGGTACCTTTTCTCAGACCGTGCAGAGGTTAACACAAAATTATTTATTTCAACCTTTTACATCTTCCTCTCGACATTTTAACCGATACTGTCCTGTTATATGGAGGTATAACAATGGATAAAAAACTAAATTTCAATATTTTTGACCTTATTACTTAAATCGGCTATACTGAAAATTTTGAATCGCCGACAAGAGGTCCCTTTCACTTTCCACATCACATTTTATTACAATTTTTTCATAAAACCACTGAACAACATACTAATATAATACATTCTCAATTAGTAGTATAATAACTTTTGAGAATGTAACACCACGTTTAGAATTTAGTAAGATAAAAATGTCAATTTCAGATTTAACCATACTCCCTCAAACATTTCTTATGGATCAAGAATCAAGAAGAATCAAGAGTTTTATTGTCATTGACCTTTCTTTGTACAAAGGAATAGACATAGTCAAAACACATACAAAACATTCCAATCATCTGGAGGACAAAGTCAAGGGTAGTAGTTCTGTACTGTACACTTTATGAATAGAGTGTAAAGTTTATCATTGTTGCTCTGCCCCAAAGAGTAATGCACAACTTATCCACGCCATAAACATAAACATGTTGGCTTGTTATATAAAGTAAAAAAGTTTTTATCCCATTCAATTTATAGCATTTTAAAATCCTACCTTCAAAACAGGACTTTCCAAATTAAATATCAAGACGTCCTCACTAACCTACGTCCAATTGAATCTGGGATTCCTCAAGGAAGTGTCCTCGGGCCGTTTTTGTATATTCTCTACACAGCAGATCTCCCAGAAAATGAGTTGGTAGAAATTGCTACATTTGCAGATGATACTGCGGTTTTGTCTGTTCATCATGATCCATTTCAAGCTTCTCTAAATTTACAGCAAAATCTGAACATAATTACTGATTGGTTTAAGACATGGAGGTTCAAAATTAATGAAACTAAATCTGTCCACATTTCTTTTACTCTAAATCAAAATTCTTGTCCTCCTGTCACAATAAACAACACCCAACTTCCCGAAGTAACTGAGGTTAAATACTTAGGTATCCATTTAGATAGGAAGTTAACTTGGAAAACACACATTTGGAGAAAACGGCAACAACTAAATTTAAAATCTAATCAGTTAAATTGGATCATCGGAAGAAAATCAAAACTTAGTCTAGAAAATAAATTGTTGCTATATAAAACTATATTGAAACCAATCTGGACATATGGAGTTCAACTATGGGGCTCAGCGAGTACTTCTAATATAGAAATTCTCCAAAGATACCAATCGACAATGCTGAGGAAGATAACAAATGCACCATGGTATGTCAGCAATAGAACACTACATCAAGACCTTAAGATGCCTACAGTTAAGGACGAAATCATGACCATGAGTGAACGATATATTACGAAATTGGAATCTCATCAAAATCATTTAGCTCTTAACTTATTAAACAACATGGATACAATTTACAGGCTTAAGAGGCCATCAATTCTGGACCTGCCCTACAGATTTTTGTAAAGTGTTTTTATTGAAAAATTTGTTGTTGAGAGTGCTTAACAGCTATTTTTAATGTTCCAAAGTCAATTTTTCGTATTACATAGTATTTACTTATTGTTCCGTATATAATAGAACAGATTGTAAAGTAAATAAATAAAAAAAAAATAAATAAATAAATAAAAAAAATAAACATAAAGAAACAAATACCTAAAAAAAAATATTTAGTCAATATCAGCAGCACACTAGACATAAACATCATGAACACATGTCTAAATAGGCTTTTAAATTATGCAATTGGATAACAAATTTATTTTCACTATTCAAAACCATTGATTTTATTAAGAAGGTTACACCCCCCGCTGTTTACCCTGTTAACATAGTCAAAAAAGAACCTCGTGGCATTATTAAAGTGTTTATCGAGTATAAATAAACTGTAAAATATTCACAAAGATCCAAACTATGCTCTGGATGAACTTCAACTTCGTAATTGTTTCTTTAATTATTTACAAAATCACATACAAAGTCTTTATCAAATGTGATTTTAGCTTCTAAATAAATTCATCCCCATCCATTGCAAGCTCTGGTGTGTTAAGAGCACAAAAAGCACACAATCATTGGAAACAAATTAGTTTAGAGTGTTGAGAACTTGTACCGTGGAGGCATGTTTAGTCGCCATCTTGAATTGACCGTGTAGAATCCTCTTAAATGTCAGTTTATTGTGTTATCCTGCTATCAGTAAATATAATAAAGAGTAAAAAGGTATATATAATTGCTGAAAACAATGTTTATTTTTTATTTTAGCACATTTAGTCAAACTATACTTGCCACTCAAATCCTGAAAGGTATCCCAGACTCTCCTTCATTCCATCTTTGCCAATTGGCCTCACAATAACAAACAAAGCTAGACAATATCATTCCTCCGATCTGAATGTAAAAGGCAAACATCAAATCCTTCACCGTAAAAGGTCTTCTTTTAACATTCTTGGTAGAGTTTGCAAAGTAAAAACTCTCTTCTCCCTCCTGTAAAATGTTTGATTTGAAGCTAAAATATCGAAACCAAGCCGAGTAGAAACCATGTTGTTTAAGTTGTAGCACTTTGCTTTGCAACCCATTGTAGTACGGGCTTCGTGAGGCGACCAGATAACTGACATAGCAATCTGATAAACAGTCGGGTATTTTGTAATAGTGATTATCACCCAAAACAACATCCAAGAAATTCCTAAAATACTTTGATGTGAAATAAGCTGATGTGTGGAACTCGTAGTCAGTTTCTATCAAATGACTCACAACTGACTTATTCAGTAGTTTCTCTAATGTCGAATTACTCCTGGCAACTTGGAAAATCCCTATACGATTTTTTATTTTTAGATTAGATTGCAAGAGCTCTTCCATATTTGTAATGTCATCCACCCAAAATGGCTTTATGATACTTTTCAACACTGTAGCTCGAAATATGCTTACTAATATGAAAATGTATAAGCACCACGACATCAAGAAAATCATGTGAAATGTTGTGTTGATTTTGAAAAATTTTGCTGCCAGAAAAGATTGCACGAGACTCAACGTAGGGTAGTCATCAGTCTTTGATATTATGTTGAATAATCTGAAATAAACACAATATATTAAACATATAACTATGTCGAGCTATAATTACAAAAATATACGGACTGAACATTGCAGCCATTATATGGTATGGACAGTATTTTTCATCAAGATGAAAAAAATACACACTAAACGTGTAACAGGCCTCAGTAGTTTTAAAACTATTATTTTCTAAATTTTCACTTATTAAATATTTAAAATGAATATAGCAGAACCTTCATAGATAACTTAAAATCTAGGAGTTTAAGGTAAGGTTTATGTTTATTGTATGTTAAACATGTTAAAACCACAAAAAATGCCTCATTCTTATTTTAATTTATTTTGAAAACTGAGTTTATTAATAAACTTTGCCTATTAGACACAGTAAAAAAAAAAAATTAAATTTACGATATAAATAACATGTAACATAGATTAATAACGTTGTCCACAGCACCATACATGAACTAGACATGAAAAACGAGCTTCAAAATTTACAAAGGGATGAGAAGGCTACTTGTGTTGGTTAGTCTATATGTGAACTGATTCAGAAGGGGGACCATCAGTAAAATAATCATCAGTGAGGAAATAATCAACAAATCAACGGTTCAGTTTTCTCTTTATATAAATTGGAGCTGGGGAAACAATAATTATGTTTCTTGACCTGGGCTATAATTGAAAATAGCTAACTTACTATTGTTTTAATATTTCAAGCTACTATTGTTTTAATGGTTCAGGGCAATTAAAACAATTATTTTCCTTTACATCAACTATAATTGTAAATGGCTTCTTTTCTATAGAAAGTAACTAAAAAGACTCATTGATACCATTATTTATAAACACAAAGATTGTGTATCAATGAAAATTGCTCGGAGTGATGGTATCTTTGAGTATGATATTCTGCTTACCCACATAAGAATTCCATTAAAGTTCTATTAGGCCTAGTACATTTTAGGTCGGAAAGCATTTACTGAAAGAATTTGATATCACCTCCATACAAGAGCAGACAAGACCACAGAGAGCAGAACCAGTAACCAAGTCACAGGAGTGAGATAGAGGATTATGGAAGTGGCTGCATAGTATCCTCGGAAGTATGGCAGGATGAAGCAAAACTCTTCCAAGTCCAGAACTGGTAGCATTGTTACCTATGCAAACAAATTTAAAATAATAAAATAGTAAGTAGTACTAGCAAGAGTTTGTACAGTCAAAACTATGATGGTTGTGTAATGGGATCTGGGATCGAGGAGGAAGTGTTTGGCAATGTAGTGTGAGTAGGCTGGTAGTGTTGTTAAACAATAACTTTGTGCTGACCTACAGAGGTTGTTGCTTTAAGTAGGCCAGGGCACTCAAGGGGAATTTTTTGTGTAATGGTGAGTGTGGTGCACTGGAGGACAGGGTTCTCCCTGCTGAGAGGGTCTAAGACAAGGGGTTTCAAAATTGGGGTTTCAGTTTCTAGGTTACTGTAATGATTAAATCATTACAGTAACCTAGAAACTGAAACCCCAATTTTACAGTTAATACAGTTCCAGTCTACTCTACCTTGTTGTTTGTTATTTAACTTTTGTTTTGAGTCATAATTTGGGTCTTGATGCTTTTTATGCTATCTAGGTTGAATTTTTGATGAGGGGAAACAAACGTTATACTAAATAATCAATGGAGTTCAAAGAGTCAAGTTTCCTAGAACGAATCTTTTACCATTGAATATATGTGTACATATCAATTCTTATACACAGAATATTTTATTTTCAGCCCTTACCCC